CTTAGAGTATCTGATCAATCTCTAAAAAAATTTTCCGTTGAGGTATCCCGAAATCACAGACCCGAAATTTTCGTTTTTTAATATTTAATGTTTAAACATTGATTGGATTAAACATTGATTGATTAAACAAAGACTGTAAACAAAGCAGGGAGCCGCTGTGCTGGCTAAATTTATAGAAAAGGTTCGTTGACCTCGCCAAAGGTCGTTGAATATAAATGTATTAACAATAAATTTGAACTGAATTTTCTCCAACCTAAAACTATCAGCGATGCTGTTGTATCAAAATACCTTTATGTTGCTTTGTTTGTCCTCGAATAGAAAGGCTTCAGCTTACCTTTGACGTCTGATCAGCGTTAACACTGTTAAAACTTTAAGGAATTTAAAAAAATGTGAGTCCCGAAATTTCGAGATTTCGCAAATTAGTTTTGGCAGTGATCCAGAGAAAATTCGATTAATGACTTTATTCAAAACTAGATCATTTGTATTTGCTTGATTTGAAAACTCAGCATAAACCAAAAGTGTGACATAGTTTATTAAAAGAAGAGGTTGTTTACATAATATGGCATTTCTCATTAAAAGATGCTATAAACAATCAAAAACAGCTTTGGCATTTTTCTATGGAAACAACAAATAATTTACAATTTATGATAACTGCGCTGTGCTTTAAAACATACATACAAACAAATGAAGTCATGCAATGCCTCTGGCGGAACGCGGCATTTGAGAGGTGTGATTTAAAAAATAAGAGAAATAAACAAACATCAGCATATGAATATACATATGTACATTCTTGACTTCTTCGATTTCTGCAAACACAGTGGGTGCGTCTTCAGATTACAGAATTTTTCGAAAACTTTCAACGGACACTTTGTTATGTTTAATGGCCTACCTCGCCTTCGCGTAGAAATACAAATACCTAACTGGAGGGAAATATATGGAATTTTTTAAAGTTATCTAGTAGTGGTTAGTGCAGTCTAATGATCGGTTTTTAAATCCGAGATTGTTGTTAATTTACATTTTTCCATTTATTTTTCAATGTTTTTTACTATTTCTGGAGCTTAAAAGCTTGGTAACAGAACGCTCGGCTTTTAAGACTCACGCCAAACCATCTATTTCAGATTCATGTCGCTCTGTCATGTTTATCATTAGACAAGATATTTTCTAATTAAGGTTTCCAATTATAAGCGTAATCAATTTACAAAGCAACCTACAAATGTTTATACAAAGAATGTTTATATTGGTGTACATATATATTATAGATAATATGTCTCATTATGCTGCTATAAGTTTTGCGTCGCTCTTTTACATAGCTCCTAACTTTGCTTTTCTTTTATTTACATAATGCGCCTTTTAGTTGCATTAACTTAAATTATGTCACGTTTCGTTATAAAATGTTGCTTGGCGCCTGCAAATATGTCAAGCTTTCTAACTGTTGTCATGCGAGTTAATTAAAATTAATGGCTTCCAAATTAGAGACGTTTTTGAGAAATGTTATTTACTCTATTAAAAAATTAGAGCGGAGTTTAGACAAATTTAACATAGAAGGAAATATTTCCAACAATAATGTTCTGTCGAATGTTGTTGTTTTCTTTTATCTACTTTGGTAAATTTGAAATAAGTGGGCAATTTTACAAAAATATTAGCTGCCGGTCTGTTATTGTCATAATTGAAGATAATGCCTAGATGTATGCTACTTTATGGCACTGGTATACTTTTAGGAGAAATAGGTATGTATGAGCATGAAGATAGCATTTCGCAAAGGACTCATTTATATAAATGCTAACCCATTGTTGGCTTACGAAATAACTCACGCCAAATTCATGAAGGTTGCGTTAAATGAACAAGTTTTTCATACAAGCATTTGATTCCGATTGTTCAGTTTGTATGACAGCTATATGCTATAGTGGTCCGATATCGGCCGTTCCGACAAATGGGCAGTTTCTTGGCGAGAAAAGGACGTGTGCAAAATTTCAGATCGATATCTCAAAAAGTGAGGGACGAGTTCATATATATACTGACAGACAAACGGACATAGCTTCATCGACTCAACTCGTCACGCTGATTTTAACTTAATATACTCTGTTCAGGGTATAAAAATGACAGACGAGGGTTTCTAGCCCCTGCAGTTGGTAGATAAAACACTAAATTCAAGTTCGACATAGTTCAGTATACCAAGCAGGCGGAAAACTGCATATCATTTGAATGGATAATTGTTATTTTTTAATATAATTTTTTTTTAAAAAAATGTCTATTTTTTGCTCCACAACTATTTTCACAGCGCTAAATCCTTGATATACAGTAGAGTTGTCATGAATGGACATGCATGGAATGGCTTTTGTGTTTAAAGCTTTGATGAGAAGTAATTTTTTTTAACTTTTTTTGTTTAAACTTATTAACATTTTTGATAATAATTAGTGCAATTATATTTATATACATGTTCCATTATCTAAAATATCTTGATATCGTGGGAAATTTCAAACTTAGGCTGAAAAACGCGAATATCGCTAAAATTCGCAAGTTTCTTACACTTTTCAAGCGGATTTTTGCTTTGATGGTGAAAGTGGTTTTTCACACAAAAGTGGAGCAAAAACACATAATTTTAAAAAAAAATTAAATGAATTAAAATAAACAAAGACAATGAAATAGTTCACTATTTTATGCTACACATTTAGGATATAAAAAAGAGCTCGTTAAAAGTTTTAGTATTTAAGTAAAAGCTCGGCTTTAAACGCCGCGCGAATTGAAAGGCGCAACATTTACCTTTTACCACAACTCCACGCTACAAAAACATTTTACTTTGCTGTCGTTGTATAATTGCCGACAAACGTTCATTCATAAAATATTCCGCCATATAACCAAAAACAACAATTTACTAGTAACACCGTTAGCGCGGCGGGCTGTATGTAAGTGATCGGCAATTGTGCCGAGGTGAGCGTCTCACTTCAAGTTCCACTTTTTGTCTGCATGCCACTTGAAATATATGCACTTTATGCTTATGTTTGAAGTTAAGTGTATATATATGTATGTATGTGGCTTTATATGCTCATATTGCCACAACAGCAACTGTTGTGGTCATTATGATGTAATTACGATCATAAACCGTTGACATGTTAGCCATCAGCTCGGTGTGATTTAAAAAGTCATTTGAGTGACTGGCTGAATTTGGTGGTGATGGTGCTGCAAATGAATGGTAGATATGTATGTATGTATGTACAAGTATAATAAATAGTTGAGATGTGTGCTTAGTATGATGTGCATATGCGCTGGTTTGTAATGCAAGCAGATTTGTTTGTGCAGATAGATATGCACACTATGTATACATATAAGTAGCATGAAAATATATATTTACATGGTGTTTGTATCTATCACCGTGCTGTCCATTGAGTGGAATTTGTGATTGTGCAATGCGCGTCAATAACAAAAATAAAAGAAAAATGTTGCAGACTTAGGTTAATTAAGTTTTTATGATGTACAAGTATTCGCGTGGACATCATACAATGTTGCAAATGTGGATTTAGTTGGTAAATAAACTATGAAAATTAAATAAAAAATATTAAAAAATTTAATCAATTAAAAAGTCACACACTTTCGAAAAAATGGTATATGTTAAAGTGTGAATTTTGCGAAAAATTCGTTGATATTGAAATAAATTAGCACTCGCTTGCAAAAAGTAAATTCATAAAAACTACAAAATAAAATAATTTTTTGCGTATATTTGAAATAAATGTATACATATATAAATATTAAAGAAAAATCCGTATGCTAGTCATATTTCGTTAAAAAAGAAAATATTTCCATCCCGACTAAGTGGTCATATCTACTTGTGAATTAGAAAAACTCACTTTTTTGTTCAACATATATATCGAAAATATATATCTTTGAAAATATTCTTCGAAAATTTGAAGTTGATCCGACAAATAGTTTTGGAGATTTGAGAGTATTTGTAAGCATTTTGTAAATTAGTGGATTTTGCTCCCAAAACTTTGAACTCGAGTCTTCTGAAACGCTGTTTTTCAGAGTCATTGGCCAGGTAATGATTGAAATAATAATTTTAATCATTATTTCGCTTTTTGACGCCAGTCAGAAGTGTAATTTTTTTCTCAAAAAACTATTTTTTTTACTATTCCGTCGATCATTACTAGTATTATATTATGATAAATCATCTGCAATAAATTTTTTTTTTGGTTTTTTGATTTGAGATAACTTTAGGCAGAACATTTTTCTTACCTTTTTTGGGAGGGGCTATGGGATGGAGGGAACCCATAATTTTTCAGAATTAAAAACAAGAGAGGCTTTAAATGTAAGTCATTTTGATTTATTTATAAAATAAAATTACTCTTAAAATAAAATTCGCAAAAAATTTAAAAAATAGTATATATTTTACTTTGAGGTTGTATTTGTATATTTATCAGGATGTTTGATAAGATTCAAGCATATTGATGGTACTTACACATTTGATTAAAATCTTGCGTAAATATTTTATACCTTTATAGATATATTTCTATAACACCGACCAATTTTCTATACAGAAAGGGTGAAGTGTTTTTGTAATTTTTTTTTTCAAAAAAGTGGACTAATAAGTTAACACTCATTGATTTATTGTTAAAGTAAACTAATATATCATTTAAGAATTTTTGTCATCAGCTGGACCAGTTGCTTCGGAAAAGTTCTTTATTTTTTGGCTAATAATTTCTTCATTTCCTTAAATTTTATAATGGTGGAAAAGTTTGTTTGTGGAATCTGTTAAAAAAACAGAACAAATGAAATGAGGCTATGTCTAGGTAACAAGATATTCAATCTTTTATCTTCTTTGGACATCGATGTTTACTATCGCGCAAAAACTTTTTTATTTTGATTTTATTCTTATAACTTACCACTACTCACCAATATAGCAGTAGATAATCGCTGTTTCCGACACCGAATATAAAATAAATATAGAAAATTTTACCCTAAACTAAAATTATTTTTATTAAAAAATTATTTGCCTTCTTTATTTTCAGCCAAAAATGTCATTTATGAGAGCAATTAATCAAACGAATCTTAACTAACTCTCTATCTTTTAAAAAAAGTCTATATAATGGCTTCACCAATGACTTCAACGATTTACCGCCAAACGGCAACACTTCAAAGCAATGGCTTATATGCTGTCACGCCAACCAAACACTATGCCATGGGTGGTGTGCAAAACGCAAGTGAACGCAATCGACTTATGGAGCTGCTACGCGCGCCCAACATACTAACTTCACCAACCTTGGAACCCTCTTCGAAGGGCTTACTAAATGGACCCGGGCAAAATAATTGCTTCCTTAATTGTGCGGTGCAGGTGAGTTTAGGATTAATAGTTTTATGATAAATAAATTATACTAGTAAAGATTTTTGAAATTTTTTATTGCAAAAAAAAAAAAAACGAAAATTTTAGAAAATTTATAAATCAAAAAATTTTAGTGCAGATATAAGAATATAAATTTTAAGCGATAAATATAAATTGTTTTGTAATTGTTATGGAAAACTTGCTATATCTAGCTATGTATATTCAGTGTATAATTTGTAATGTTTAATATCATATGTGAATAAATAGAAAGCAAGTTCGTTGCTTAAGTCGTCAGTTTCATACTAAAAATTTGGTAAGACTGAACTTTTAATGCATTTTTTAGACAATACTCTGCAAATACAGTAAGTTATCACTTCTTTTGTCTAATTTCGTTAAAGGAAATTACTCTTTTTGGGTCATACCTTTCAGGTTTTCATACAGAAAACTCATTATGCTAGAAAAAATATAGATTATTTTCCATTCTTATGTGCATATAATTAATAAAGTTCAACACTTACATATAATCACTACATATTCCCCATTTCACCCACCACTTTAATTAAATCCACCTTTAGGTAAACTTGTAAATCGCCTCATTCACACGCTCTTGGTGCTTTTTTTTTTGCATTATTAATGAAAAAATGGCGCTTTCAATTCGCTGATTTGTCTGAGTCATGTTCCAGATTAACATAGAACATGCAATAAATCGCTCTGTGGCGGCAAAATATGGACATAAAAATTCATATTCTAAACCCACCTTTTTTTTAATAGATTTTATGCTTGGCTATCGCGGTGTCTCCGCGGCATGTAAGCGCAATGGAAATTATTCAAACAAATAAATGATAAATTAATTTGCAAATTAAAAGCATAACATAAAATCGTGTGGCAGCAAACATCAAAAAAAAACAAAAACAAGAACTATTTCAAAGCAACATAAAATTGTTTGTAAGGAAAACCATGCATGGGAAATGCTAAAAATAATAAAAATCCATACGCACATACTCATATACGACCACACGTTTAGCACTCATACCATAAGTAATTATCCGTACTTATGGATGCATGTGAATGATTTTTTTAAAAAATTTTTTGAGCTTGCTACGCTCACTTTTGCAATTTCACAGCGCATATGTAACGCGCGTGCGCTTGCCGCGAGTTGTTTGTTGGTATATATGTATGTGTCCGTTTGTATCTGTTTCCTGACGTGGAGGAAGAAGTTGTATTTTATTTATTTTTATTATCTTTTTGAATTCTGCCGCATTGCGATTATTATTGCCTCGCGCATGCGATCTGTTGCATTTTCTCAGACTGTGGCAAATATGTAGGTGCCTAACAGCTGAGTGAGCAGCTGTTTGCTGGATGCATATATTTAAAGGGTGTTTAGGAAATTTAATAGGGAATAAAAGGATTTTTATTTAGCTTTTGATCGGCCAGTTTTTATGGTAGCTTTATGTTATAGTAGTCCGATCTAAGCAACTTTTTTGAATATTCTAAAGTTAGCTTGGACAATATTTAGTGCCGAATTCCGTAAAGATAAAAAAGAAAAAAAGTTTTAACTAGTTTTGGATCGACCAGCTACATACTGTAGTCGTCCGATATCGCCGATTTTGACTCATGAGCAGCTCCCTGCGGAGAAGAGGACGTGCGAAAAATTTCAAATCGATATCTCAAAAACTGAAAGATGAATTCACATATACAGACAGACGGGCATGGATAAATCGAGCCAGCTCGTTATTTTTCGATTAAAAATTAAGAAATGACTTTAAAAATTTTTTGAGTTAACATTCTAACCTTTCAGAAAATTTCAATATTTGATGTTGTGTCAAACCACCCTGTAGGTAGTTGATGAAACTTACATATTAAGCACTTTTCCCACCATTTACCTTGATTTCCTTACCTTTTTATGCCAAAAAAAATTAATTTTCAAACGAAAGCACCGCAGCGCACTGGTTTCAGTTGTTACGAAGCTTGGGTGTTTTGATGATGTTTTATATATATGCACGTGTTCATATACACATAATTATTGTCTGCTTGCCTTTGATTTCTTTTGTTTCTTTGAGGATGTGAACTTTCCTATCAATTTCTTGCTATTGTTTGTATTTTTTTTGTTTTGTTGATGTTGTTTGTTGTGTTGTATTTATAATTGTGCTAAATATAGCTGACATGTTTTTGCACATTTCTCCCACACAAAAATAAACATTTAAGCAAAGACGCTCTTGAGGTCTCCACGCCTTTGCAACTGCTACTTCTTATAGTTTTGATGATACTGATGAGTCTAGGTTAGAAGGTGAGGTTGTGCAGTTGTTTAGTTTTCCAAAATTTTAAAGATTTTTGCTCTAAATTTGAATTATTTTATTGAATCATTCATGGATTATTCAAATGATATCGTTTTTTCATGGCATCCCTCAGTAAAATCTTACGGGGCTCTTTGGAAATTCAAAAGTGCTCAGACTGAGTCCTCATTTTCAATTTTTTGGGGAAAAAAATATTTATAATATCTAATATATATAAATTAATAATACCTCAAGCAATATTTTCACAGAAAAATACCACCTTATATTCTTCAGATTCTCCCAGATAAGATTCAGAGCTTCCCAAAAATCTCAAAGTACAGGAACTGAAGTAATAGCGATCGCCAGAGTTGTCAATTTACTAATTAAAAATTTTTGGGTAACAAAATAAATTTTCAATTTTTAATTCTGATTTTGGTGATTTTATTTTTGTTTGATTTTTAAAATATAAAAATATATCTGGAATCAAAAGTTGGAAGGAAAGGGTACAATCAAGGAAAAATCTACGTATAACTAACTAACTATTATTCATAGTAATTAAATGTAAATAAGACAAAAAGTGTTAAACTATGTCGAAATTTTATTAAAAATAAGCTTTTTTTGTACAAAGATAACCGCGAACAAAGATAAAAGCGGTATAACAGAAAGGACGCAAACGTCAAAAATTTTAGATTCAAAAACACATTTATAAGTATAAATTTATAATTCACTTTGGTTTTTTATTTTTCAATCTGGTTATTAGGAATAAAATTTTCATTTTGAATTTGTAATTTCGATTTGAAAAAAAAAATCCAGTATCTGCGATTAAAACTTTGAAAATTATTTTTAAATAAGATTTTTGAGATTATAAAACAAAAAAAAATTAATTAAAATTTCAGTTCAATTATCTTTTTAATCCATGTGAATCACCCTGTTCATTATTTGGAGAAAGACATTGATTTTAATTACTTATGTACATTATTATGCATTTTTTTCAAATTTGTGTCAAGTAATAATTTCTTGAGTTCTCATTAAATGTTAGAAAACACTTAAAATTTTTAACAGCATGACATAATTTTGACGAAAGAAATAAAAATATATAAATATATATGAGTATTTGCATGCAAATAAAAAACAGAGTTGCGCTGAGTGTCTTAAGCCTTATTGGGAAACAATTGGCACGAGTATACAAAACAGTTGCCGAGGATGACCGTCAAATCAAAGCCTCCTACACCAGAGGCGACATTGAAATATTATTATTATCTTTTCTTGTTTGAGTATTTGACAGACAACTCGGTATTTACTTAACTTTATCCAAATTTCTTCTTGCTTGGATTTGCGTATATTTTGTTAGCTATTAATTGTATTTTTTTTGGTTTTTGGAAATCAAATTTCAATGCTTTTGAAACTAAATAAAATAAAAATTATAATAATTTTCAGGGAAAAAATCATCATCAATTAATTGTATTTTTTTTGGTTTTTGGAAATCAAATTTCAATGCTTTTGAAAATAAATACAAAAAAAAAAGTATAATAATTTTCAGGGAACAAAATCATCTTTTGTGTGTCACAATCGTTCAAGCAAAGAGTCATGAGTTGACAAAATAATTACGACAACTAAAATGTGACTCAGGCGTTGATTTTGTGAAGTGTGAGGTTTGCCATAATAATTATGTATAATTTTTCTTTTATGCTACATGACAGGTTCTCACTTGAGTGACTTAAATAAGTGACCACCTTTTAGCTTTAAATGCCAATTTCAGTGGTCTTAGTTTTATTGTCGGACGCTGTCATTAATAAATTGCAATGTGGACAATGCATGTAGGATATGCATATACTCATATGGGTGAATTTTATACTAGATTATATCGAAGTGCAACCTTTTTGATGTATGGCTAATTGTTGTTTAATTAAAATGTTGCTAGTTAAAAATAGGCAAAAAAGTAAAATAATTAAAGTTGATGTAAAACATTAAGCAAGCAGAAGCACACTTTTGGTTCCTAAATATTTCTCATAACCTTTTATTATAAAAGTTATAAAATGTTTACGTGGACAGCACGTAGATATATATATATACATATATATATGCTTTATATTATATATTAGAATCAAAATTTTTCGCTTAAGAATTGGTTAAATACTACAAATCGTTAAAATATGTGTTTTATCTTTGATAAAATTATACTCACCGGTCGCGTAATAAACTAGAAATAAATATAAATTGATATAATTTAATTTAATTATTTGTAAATTTCTGTAAATGTTAGGGTTGCCATATATTTTTTATGAGAACCATACAATTATTTATTTATAAAAGATAATTGTTGCCGCACTTATATGACTTCATAGTATTGAAGAGAATTGCTCAGATAGGCTTTATTTAAATTAGGGTTGCCATTGTTATTGGTTCAGCCATTCCTAGATTAATTTGATGTAATCAGTAGTAAAACATATATTTATAACATATTCAAATTTAATATTAATATATAATACGTTTTTTTTTGCTTAGTTTTGAGCAGGGTTGCCAACAATTTCATAGATGAAAATTTTAATTTATTTTTAAAAATCTCCCCAAATGCTGTTAAGGCAAAACTATGTAATTTGATTATTTAGTTTAGTTACTTACATTTTTTGAACAATCCAGATAACTCATAAAGTTGCCATACTTCTTAAGTTTTTTGATTTTATTTTTTTATTCAGTTGATAAGGTACGCAGAAATATTAGGAAAGTTAAATTGCTATA